GGATCACAGAGAAGGCGAATCCCTGCTGTCACCGAAGCCGACAACCGGAAGTGTCAGGAAGAGGCAAACTATTAAAGCTTTAGAAGATGATTATAAAAAACTGGAAAAAGAATTGCAGAATATGCCACAGAAAAAAGATATTAAATTCAAAATGGATATAATTAAACATAAGATGGGTCAGACGAAGAAAGAAGAATTGGCACAAAAAATTAGAAGTGCTAAACAGAACTATTTTGAAGATGCAAACAAACCAGGTAGATGGCTAGCATACAAATTGAGAAAGGAGAAAGAATCTAGGAAAATAGTACAGTTAATAGATGATCAAGGCCAAATGTGTTATGGTAATAAGGAGAAAAAGACAATTATCTGAGACTTTTATGGACAATTATATAAGCAGGAGGATTTTGATGAGGAAAGAATTAAGCTTTATCTACAAAATGCTAACTTACCTAAGATATCTGAAGAGACTGAAAAAATGTTAGAAAGTACTATAACAATGATGGAACTAACGGAAGCATTTAATAGGCAGAATAATGGAAAAGCACCAGGCCCAGACGGGCTCCCGGCGGAATTTTATAAAACATTACAAGAATCGTTGAGCACTCCACTGTTAGAAGTTATGAATGAAGCCATGTTAAATAAGAGAATACGCAAAACATGGTCAGAAGCTTATTCCAAAAAAAGGGGCCGATCCATCACAAATTAAGAACTATAGACCTATTTCTTTACTGAATGCAGATTATAAATTTTTTGCTTCCATCTTGGCAGAAAGGCTCAAAAGATACCTAAATAACTTTATTCATCCTGACCAGAATGGATTCCTGCCAAAGAGACAAATTAGGGATAATATGAGGGTAATTCTGGACACCTTGGAATATTACGAGGCGCATCCTGAAAAACAAATGGCTTTGATATTTTTAGATGCCCAAAAGGCATTTGATAATGTGAACTGGAGATTCAGGTTTTTGTTATTGGAACAGATGGGCTTTGCTAGAAAATTTATTCAAGCAATAGAAGCCATATATGATAAACAAACGGCAAGAGTAATGATAGAGGGAGATTTTACAGATTCTATTAATATAAGAAAAGGCACAAGACAAGGTTGCCCATTATCACCTTTGTTATTTGTATTGACTTTGGAAGTGCTGAATAGAAACATTAGAGAGGACCCAAATATAAAAGGAATGAAAATTAAGAAGGAGGGATTTAAACTGCAAGCCTTTGCGGTTGATTTGGTTTTTATTCTGGAAGATCCTCTAGAAACAGCTTTAAAGCTACTGGAAAAGATAGAGATGTATGGTGAGATGGCGGGCTTGAAAATAAACAAAGATAAAACAAAGATCTTGACAAAGAATATGTTATTAAAACAAAAAGATGAACTGGCAGATTTATTGAAAATTCAAGTTACGAATAAAGTTAAATATTTGGGGATACATTTGACGTCAAGATGTACTACATTGAAAGAGAATAACTATACTAAACTTAAACAACAGATAGCATCTGATTTGAAGAAATGGGAAAATCTACAATTGTCATTGATAGGTAGAATTTCAACAATCAAGATGAATATTTTACCCAGAATTTTATATTTGTTCCAAACCATACCAATCAGGCTTGGTAAAGATTACTTTGAAGAATTGTGTTGAAGTTTATATGGCAAGGTAAGAAAGCCAGAATAAAATTAAAACTTCTACAAGATGCTAGAATTAGAGGAGGATTTGGCCTTCCGAATTGGGAGTTGTATTACCAAGCTGCAAATTTAATGTGGGTTAAAGAATGGATAACATTAAGACTAGATTGTTGACATTAGAAGGACATGACTTATTACTGGGATGGCATGCTTTTCTGTGGTATAAGGGAACTAAATCGCAGGGCTATTTTAGAAGGCATTATATAAGGGAGTCTTTATGGTTGAATTGGGAGAAAATTAAGAGAAAATGTTATTTGAAAATCCCAGTCTGGTTATCAACTATTGAAGCCTTTTCTTATCCTATAATATATGAGAAGGAACAAACAGTTAGATATGGGGAAATATTGGATGAAAAGAGTGAACTTAAAACAATGCAAAAACTAGAAGAACAAGGCATAAAGATGAATTGGTTTTCATATGCGCAAAAACATTCAAGGTATCTTACAGATTCTAAAGCGGAGGGATTTTATGATAAATTGACTGATTTAGACAGGATCTTGACAGGTACTGATGAAAAAGTGATTAAAAAATTATACAGTTATTTGTTGGAAATTTTATTAGAGGAGGAACAAGTTAAAGAAACGATGATTGTTTGGGGGAAGAATTTTGGATATGGGATTGATTTGGACAAATGGGAAAAATTGTGGTCTCAAAATTATAAAATGACAATGTCAACAGCTTATAAAGAAAACTTGTATAAGATGTTTTACAAGTGGCATTTCCCCCCGACAAGAATTGCAAGAATGTTTAAGAACAAATCTGAAAAGTGCTGGAAATGTCATCAGATACCTGGCTCATACTACCATATGTGGTGGACTTGTGAGGACGCTAGAAAATATTGGACTAAGATTCGCATATGGTTGGAAAAAATGACAAAGACACATATAGACTTGAAACCAGAGATTTTTTTATTGGGAATCTTACCTGATATATATAATAAAAATTTGAAGTATTTGATTGTAAATATATTAACAGCGGCTAGGATTGTATTTGCTAAAAACTGGAAGAGTGAGAAAACTCCATCAGAGGAAGAAATTATTAAGAAAATATTGGATTGTGCTGAAATGAGTAAATTGACATTTGAAATTAGAGAACAAGAAGATAAACAATTTTATGAAGTTTGGGATCTATTTTATCAATGTTTAGATAATAAAACATAATGACAGAATATTCAGATTTAGCATAAAAATTTTTTTTTCCTTTTTTTTTCTTTCTTGATATTATCTTTATAAAATATTATCAAGATAGATTTGGTATGATTTTATGATTTATTGCAAAATAAACTAAGTAAACTATAGTTATCTCGTTAAAATATGAATTAACAAAATTATAGATAAATGTTTTTTTTAGTGATGATATTAGGTTATACAATTATTGATTGATAATATGAGCTATTATGTAATATAATTATATTAGTGACTAATAAAATGGATGCACAAAAAAAAGTGGTAAACCAATCGATGCACTGTTTGTAAATTTATGAAGAAGGATGATATTTTTATGTTTTATGTGGTATGTCTATGTTTGTTGTTTTGTTGTTAAAATAAAAAAAAAATTTAAAAAAGAAAATAACTATAATAAATTAATGATACAAATAAAAAAGGAATTGGAAATATGGGGGAAGCTTCAAATTTCATTAATGAAAAGAATTGCGGCAGTTAAAATGTCTATATTATCAAAAATACTATATCTATTCCAAACCGTACTGGTAAAATTAGATAAAAATTTTTTAGGGGGGAATTGGATAAAACAATAACTAAATTTGTCTGGGTTGGGAAAAAAGCTAGAATTAAAATGAAATTATTTCAGGATAGGAGAGAAAGGGGTGGCTTTGGACACCCAGATTGGGAAATGTACTACCAGGCGGCAGCCATGGTATGGATAAAAGATTCGATTAATCTAGAAAACAAAAGAATATTATTAATAGAAGGACATGATTTGCAAAGAGGATGGCATAGTTTTTTATGGGACAAAAAAACAAACAACATGCCTACTTCCAGAGATACCAAATTAGAGATGCACTTGTTCAAGTATGGAGTAAAATTAAAAAGAACTACTACGTTAAAATGCCATGCTGGCTGTCGACGATGGAGGCATTAATATATCCGAATGCAATGGAATTGGTGAAAAGGGGAAACTATAAAGATCTCTTAGATGAACATGGAAGATTAAAAACTATACAGGAGTTACAACAACAAAATATAGATATAGACTGGTGGTCATATATGCAAGTACAGGCAAGATATAAAAAAGATAAAGAAAAATTGGATTTTATTTGGATAAGCAACAATTAGATAAAAATTTACAAGGAACGGAAAAAAATATTATATCTAAATTATACAACTATCTTTTAAATTTTAAAATGGAAGAAGAGGTAGTTAAGGAAACAATGGTAGCCTGGGTGAAAAATGTAGGACATAATATAGAATTGGAACACTGGGAAAGAATGTGGGGGACAAATTATAAACTAACACTGTCTACACCGTACAGAGAAAACATGTACAAAAATGTTTTATAGGTGGCACTTACCCCCCATCAGGTTGGCAAAAATGTTCACAAATCAAAACCCAGAATGCTGGAAATGCAAAAAAAAAGGGGGGGGGGCACAAATTTTCATATGTGGTGGACCTGCCCAGAAGTTAAAAAATATTGGAGCACAATTCGAATATGGCTAGAAAAAATAATAAAACAACAAATTGAACTTCAACCAGAATTATTTTTATTGGGATAATAAAAGAGAAATACATTAAAACTATATTATGCTGCACATAACTATATTATGCTGCACATAACTGCTGCTAGGATCTCATATGCACAATTTTGGAAACAAGGAAATATACCACCAGAGGGAGCAGTTATAAAAAAATATTAGATTGCGCAGAAATGGACAGGCTGACTCTAAAATTAAAACACAAAAAGGAATCAATATACTATAGTCTCGGACACCTGGTATGCATGGTTTAAGAACAGGACAAAAAATAATGCTGTAATTAAGTAAAAAATAGGAAATTATATACTTTGAATGTAGAATAAATGGAAAGTATACGATGAAATAACTGATATAAATATGGAATAAGAATAGGGAAAAGAATATGTAATTGTTATGCATAGAAATAAGGCTATTAAATATAAATGATATCTTTGATATTGATATAATTGTGTGTATATTTTTACTTTGTTTTTAAACTGTTTGAAAATAGAATAAAGTTTATTTTTTTTAAAAAAGGAAAGGCATAGTAGATATAGTGGATTCTGCCAACATGCCTCTAAACGTAGTCCAAAAATTGAATTATATTTTGTATGCACTCACCCTTTATGATATATGCATAAACAAGGCAATCGTGCTATTGTATCTCCTTGCTGCAGTTCCTCCAAGCATATTGCACATTCTCCAGCATCTTTACTCAGCACATCCTCTATAGAAACAGAAAAATTAATATAGACACAATTAATATTCACAAAGTTAATGTCTGGTTTCCGAGTGAGGAAATCTGTTGCAATTTGGTTTACAATGCTTACAGCTTCACATGCTTACAGCTAGTAAAACAAGAACAAAGGTATTAGCAAGATTTTGTGAATGGAACACTCCTCTTGTTCAGCTAATACACCATATGTTCTTCCAGGACATGCCATTCCATTTCAGCAGCAAAAAACTGTTTCCATTCCATTGTCGTGATTACTTTCAATTTCACAGGATATATTTTATTTATCTATTTAGAAAATTTATATTGCTGTCTATTTGCACATGGTGACTCAAGGTGGCTTACA